CAGGCACGTTAAATGATATGCTTTTTGTTTGTGTGAACTCAACTTTAGGTGTTGACCTTAGGTCACAGTCAGAGGTCACGAAGCTGGCTGAAGGAGGTCACATTGCATATCATTTGATGCAGCAAGTCTTCCCGCGTTTATTGGTGACTTTTCCGACTCGCTAGCTCAATGCGAGCAGGAGGTATTGACGAAAAACTACTATGCCCTTAGTAATGTCATAAATGACGTCACGCATGGTCAACGATGCAGAAGTGAAGCATCGGAACTCCGAACTTGCAATCAGTGTATGAAATCACGAGTCTATGTGCTTGAGCAAGTTTTAGATCTTTCCCGGTGTCAATGTAACAATTTCTATAGCTCCCCCGTTGACTTATAATGGCGAGGTCACGTGACTGACTTGACCTGTGGAGACTTTCTGGGAAAAGGTGAGCTATCAAGTTGTTATATCTCTGATGAAATACTAGATTCCGTAAGTTTCGTATCCCTGTGAGAGCTCCTCTGTCAATGAGGGCGTTGCGAAGTTGCGACATTTCAGGACAGTGCAGATGTTCACTTATGACGTCACAGATCAGTGACCTAACCTGGCTTTAACCCGGCAGTACCTGGAGTATTCCGCCACCCGCCGTTTGCTGTTAAGGTCAATCAGTTAAAGGGACCCTCCCACCTTAACATTAGTTTTGAGTTGAGATAGCCAAGTTTGCGGCCAGGCTCAGAAACCACCATTTATCCTGGTCGCAACCCCCGCAGCTTTATGGTGTTCAAGAAATTTCTTCCCTTTACTTGCAGGGTGGGACCAGCGTGGTCCCTATCTCTTAACCATTACGGGAATCTGATGACGTCATCAGGCTTTCGAACGTCCGTTGAATGTTTGACTAAAACGTTTTGTAGCACGCGGTGGTATATGCTGCTTTGCGCGCAACAAATGCCGCACTTTCAAATAAAGTCGCTAGGAACAGCGGAGATCCCAAAAAGTAAACAAAAGTAAAAGTCTAATATCTTGAAAACCGGTGAATATTTTTCGATGAAATTTGGTAGATATTCGTTTTTGCTCTTTCTGAACCGAGCGACATCACTTTCATGCCAATTCATTAACTTTTCTGAAGGTGGGAGGGTCCCTTTAACCCGCGCCCCGTAGGGGGGGGGCGAAACGCCCCCCCTGTCCTTTTCGGTCGATATCTCCTAAACCGCTTCAGATATCGCCACCAAACTTTCAGGACCCCTCCGGGCATCAATTTTACACATTGTGACCAAAAATTTTTCCAGAGGCTATGATAGGTTGGCCACAAATGACGTCAGAATGACGTCATGTTCTGTCATTTTCGACCGAATAAAGACCTTCGCGAGAAGACCTGTCAGGCCTACAGCTTTGAAGATACAGAAAAATGATCAAGACATAAAAGGTGTAGAATTGACAGGGCTACAAAACTGCCATCTCGGATTTTTGAAGTTTTTGAGTTTTGAACCCCAAAAATAAAAAAAAAACATTTTTTTTTGATATATTAGCCAAAAAATCCAAAAAGTTTTTTGAGTTTCAAAAAACCGGAATATATGTGATAGTACCTACCGTCTTCTATCTACATACCGAATTTCAGATCGATACCTCGTTTTTTGGCCAACTTATAGCGAAAAAACTGTTCAAAATTGATGACGTCAAATTTTCAAACTCAATTTTTGGCAGTTCTAGACCTCGTAGAGCAAAACAAAGACCACCATTAGACTCCCCGTGACGAGCTGCATCGAATAGATACCCATTTTATGCAAAAATATCAGCTTTGAAATTTGACCTTATTTGACCTGACCTTGACCTGACCTTCACCAAAACGTGACCTAGGCTGGCCCCAAAGGCTGCCTAACCCACATAATCGCATTTGTCATGTAAAATGGACCATAAAACATGTATCACACGACACTTTCATATTGTGACCCCGGTGACCTGACCTCGCTGTGACCTGACCTGGTATCAGTGACCTCAGATAGCAAAGTATGTGTTTGACGAACAATGTACCATCGATGGTTTTCAATAAATTACCAATTAACTCGATTTCACAACACATTTCTTGAAATGCCTGTGAACGGTGAAAATCTGACCTTTGACCTGACCTGTGACGTCATCGGTTTGACCTAGGTCAATGAAATTTGGTCACAAGGTAGTTCCCGGGTGGGGCTATCGAACGCCGTTTGAATTTTGAAAATCGGCCGGTAACTTTCCGAGATCTTAGGGGGGGGGGCCGAAACGGCCCACCCCCCCTACGGGTGGTAGGGTCCGCCGGTAGCCCTACGGGGCGCGGGTTAAGCATATACCACCGAAAAGCAAAACTGGTATTCGCAGCATGTAACACATGTTTTATGGGTACTTTTGGGCGTAGAACACGACAGTATTACTCATTTTATCATACGAGTACGTGTTGTGTCGAAAAAGATAAAGAATGCGTGCATCAAGGTCGTGAAGTTGTCACGAGAAATTGCCAAAATTCAGTTCAAGATTTTGGAAAATGGAGAACGTCAATAAAAAAATCGAAGAGAAGCATTTGATTGTTCATGGTATTGGCAGTATAATGGCTTTTACGGCATGTCACCTCGTCTGTTCTGTGATTGTGTATGATTTTTCGCACACATGCCATTTTTGTCGAAAACTCAGAAATCATGACGTCACCAAAACCTCGATAGCTAAAAAATCCAACCATTTTTTCAATTGGCTACAATAAACTTCAATCAATTCCATAAAGGTGCGCAAATATTGGCACGCTCATTTCTTAGCTATAGCGTGACAAAAATGTGGGGGCTTTAACGTTCCCCTCTAAATAACTCGTGGACTTAAGCGCAGTTGATGTCATAGGATACGGCTTGAATGAAAGCAGGCTGACAAATTTCAGCTCTCTATTTTCAGCGTGTTCTACGCTGACGTGAAAACAGCAAGGGGCAGCACCCCGACCCGCACCCCCTACCCCCCTCCCCCCGGCTGGCGACGATTAACTTTGAATTGTACCTAAATGATGCATTGCAATTCATGTTTTACATTTTTCTGGATAAAACGCATCTCAGCTTTTTGAACGGTTTTACGCCCCACGGGCACACGTTGGGAAACAATTGTAATCGGATCATTGAAAGTAATTAAAACGGATCATTGTCGTGGGAATGATGCAGGAAAGTTGTGAACGTCCCGTCTCCGTATAGTGGAGAGCATCGGCAGAGCACGTGCTCCAACGACAGTTCACACTTGTGCCGTCTATTCCACCGACAGGTGTGCACTTGTGCCGGATCCTACGGAGATGCCCGCTTTCTTCTGCTACCTTTAGGTCAAATTAGGATATCCCGCTGATATAGCTTGAGGATCTGTGATGTGGAATTCGGAGCACCTATAATTGGGATATCGATTCAAACTGGTGCCGAACGATATTGCGCAAAATAAATACAACACAAAATCGTACTTCATCAGGGCCATGGATTAAAAATTTTATCTGCTTACAAACTAAAGTCACTAAAGGACTGAGGATTCCCAAAGGTGGCTAAATACAGTGTAAAATACTGAGGTAGCGATGAGAGCAACGATACGAATTTATTCAAACTACCGACTCTGGACATCTGATATGGAACTAATGAATAGATGGAGTGGCTCCAGCTGTACAGTCCTCAGCAGACTGCGTGGTAGGCATTCTTTTTCGACAAAACCGGTAATTACTCAAAGGCTATGTTATCAATCGGTCGGAACTCACTGCAAATAAATACGCCATGCTCCACTACTTCGATTGGGTCTATCACTAAACAAAGTATACAGTATACACCTTGTGTGGCAACAAAATGCAAAACTTTGTTTTGGGGGCAAATACACACTTTTCGGTTTTGTTGCCAAACTGGATGGAAAATGAAAACGATGATAATGCCAATCTAGAGTGCGGAGTCTCGCGCGTCTTGCTGTTACGATTTCTGAGTGACCGATAGCATAGTGTTCGCGTTATTCTCGGTTTTGTAAAAAAAAAAAGAATACCTACCACGCAGTTTGCACAGGGCTGTACATACTGTCGGTCTGTCCGGCCGCCTTCTCGTGTTGCCGGGAGAGCGGACGGTGATCACGGATCTCTAACCGGACGCGGCCACCGCGCCGGAACTACATGACTGGCCACCGGAACCTGTCGTATCACCGGGGATGGGTGACTCACGACACGACTGGACACTGCCTCCCCCCCCCCCGATCACCCTCACTGGCGAGAGTGTAAATACCACAACGGCAACAGATGTTCCATGCCGGGCAGAGTGGGCACGCGTTCATGGATCTGTGCGACTGACGTGACCTCAGGCACTGTTCCGTTCGCACTGTGTCATGTATTTTAGTGCGGCACGTTGCTTCAGCTCCGTTTGCAGACGTTGCACACAGGATGTGAGCAGAATACCGCCAACTGTTGTTCATTCAACTTGCTCCCGGACACGAGGCCTCGTGTAGCAACGTCCCAAGTTGGCTGCGACGGGGTCGCTATTGGTACTTTCTCACGATGACCCCTGGGGGTGGTAGGTACTTCCATGGGGGCTGCGCTGAGCAGTGTGTCTCACACCGGTGCGCCCAGCGGTGTTTCAACAGCACGCTGCTAGCCGCTGCCAGCACATGTGGCAATTTGGGTTTCCATGGAGACATCAACAAGCCCATTGCTCCAACACTACCATAAGTGTGGCGCCAGCTCGCGAAATGCGCTGGCAGCGTGCCGCAAAACAAGGCCCTAGAAGAGCAGTGCCGGGGAGGCCCGTATTGTATCGGCTCTATCAGATACTGTGCCGCCATGCAGCCATGCTGAGCGGCACAGTCTACCCACTCAGTGAATGCTGAACAGCAAACGCCACGGCGCCACGAATGAAAAGAGAAACTGCATGTCCTGTCCTGGTGAATGCTGTAACAACACTAAGGTCTGAAATTTGTATTAATGGCACCAGTACCCTTAATTGACTCACAATAAAAATAATTGCTTTTCTGATTGTCAACAACTGACGTGCGTGTCTGTCGTTTGTTTCAGTTTGTAACTTCGTCATCCATGACCGATGTCGGACCAACGTCGTATCACCTTGCTTTACTATCGCGGCAGCTTTTATAAAGGTAAGACATGTGTGGATGCGTAGTATGATCCTTGGCGCAAGGTATGGAACTCAAAAGAGGGAGTCAAGATAAATGCTTGAATACAGTAATTAAAATATAAAATTCGCTCATATTCATCACCGACCTCATTCGTTGTAAGTTTGTAGATAGTTAAATTCGTCCATGACGTTCCTGAAATATAACCAACAGCAAACTTGATTGTTTAAGCTTGCTTTTTCAAATTTGTGCTGAGAAAGTGGTAACAAATTATATGCATGGTAAAATGAATAGAAAGGAAACACATTCGTTACGACGCCCGTGCCCCGTACGTAAGTACAAACAATAGTTTCTCTGAAGATCAAATGCAAACCTAAGCTCTTAGCCTGCACTTGAATGGCCAATGGTCATCCCGCCGAAATGCAGGGCTGTACCTGAACAGTGCTCCTCCGTCGGCAGAACCCTGTGGCCCACTGCTGGGTGGAGCCTGGACACTACAAGCGGCGCTTCTGCAACATTTGCAGGAAACGGCTGGACGATACCTGGGCTCTGCGGTGTGAAGGTAACCAGCCGCTCACGCGAAACGCAGCGAGAAAGTGCTGCCAATGGGGAGCTGTTAATTCCGATTTGGGGAAGGTCAATAGTTTCCGCCTGTGTGAACGCCTGGGATTTGTTTAAAATGCTCGAGCATAAGAGCTCCAATCTTATCCGTCAGCCAGGCTGACGTTTTATGTGTCACATACCTACAATATATAGTAACATATGCAATTTCAGAGTTTTGTATTTTAATGATGAATGATAAATAGAAATAAGTGAATTAATGAACCTTTTACACCAGTTTTTGGTTAATACAATGCGCGTATTATGTCTAGCGTGAACATATATGTATCACATTGTTCGCAAAATCCTGTATGAAAAACATGCCTCCCTGAAACAGCGCATACCCTGTCGTTACAAAGTCCTGCTTCAGTAACCCCACATAATGTCTGTTCTGACGCCGCTCTGCCCTGTCCCTCGGGCGGCGCAGTGTGCGAGTATTACGTGCACGTGGACTGCCAGGAGTTCGCCGTACCCAACTGCAAGACCAGCTCCGAGTTCATCCCAGGTCAGAAGGTGTCCGAGGTGCAGCACGCGCACCTCTGGCGCGAGGGCAACCTGCCCAGCAACAGCAAGTGCGCCGTCTGCCGCAAGACCTGCTGGTCGTCCGAGTGTCTGACGGGGATGCGCTGCGAGTGGTGTGTGACCACGGTGAGTGCCAACTCCCTCCCCTCCCCTCCCTCTCCTCCCCTCCCCTCCCTCTCCTCCCCTCCCCTCCCCTCCTCTCCCCTATAGGCATGATTCTTTTACCCTCCAACACAGTGCAACTTGGAGTACAGTTTGCAATGTAATTGTTCGATACTACCGTACCTTTGTAAGTTAACCTAAGCAAATGCCATTTACAGGTGCCTTTAAAAGATAATGATTTGGCATATTGCTCAAACTACTTTTGTCAAAAACATATAAACCACCTTTTCCGATGTCCCTTCTCATCGTAATTAATATTGTTATGCGTTAATATTTTGTCAACAATATGCAGGCGCTCTTTTGAATACTATTGTATCAAAGTATGTTTTTACCAAGGGCATAAATATTGTCCCTATGTGTTCATTATACGTCATCGCGGTTCATTTGGCAGGTACACGCGCCATGTATGAAATACATTCCACCTCAGTGCAAATATGGTGCAATGGAGCCGCTGGTTCTTCCTCCAAGTGCAGGTGAGGATATAAATGCACCCTCGGCAGAGTGTACGTACGAGTATGTCCGACAGATATGACCACAGCCTCGGCAGAGTGTATCCAGCTGGACGGCAGACTGGTGTATTGCTGCTCAATCGCTGTTAAAATCACTCAATCACTCAATGATGCGTTCTTATGTCCGTTTGTGCATTTGAACGTTTATTTTTATCTTTGGAATCCACAAGTGGATAATTTGAAAAACGGTTATCATGCAACTATCTAACGTATACGTGCTAGATTATTGTAAACATATTGCACCATGAAAGAAAGCATGCTAGACGGATTGCCAGAACCATTTGAGGGTCAATGAAAAATATCGTTTTATACCCCTTCCAGCCACTGGCAACCAAACCGCTGAACTCATCCAAATAGCTGGAAAGGACCAGCCTCGCTTACCGACTTCCGTCTGATGTGTACACCATTGCACTGTCTCATGCAACAAACCATACCTACTTGGTAACCAACAAACTAAAGCTGAATGAACTTAAACAGAAATCCCAGACCGCATTGGCTTCAAATACCTACCGTGTGTGATGATGACGGAAGTATTTGAGTTACGAGGCTTGAAATGATCTCACGCATGTCAAAGTGTTTTTATTTTAGGCAAAATAAATATCTAAAACAGTAAAACACGTTTAACGTTTAAACAGTAAAACGTTTTACTGTTTTAGATATTTATTTTGCCTAAAATAAAAACACTTTGACATGCGTGAGATCATTTCAAGCCTCGTTATATTAATAATAATCATGTCATCCATCCTCGCCCATATAAAAATATTTGAGTTACTATGTATTTTTATCATTGCAACGTTTCACTTGGTATATGCATGGATGGTATAGGTATGCGCTCAATGCATAAAGCCAAGAGTTTCAACCCCTTTTCAATGGCTTTGTCATTCAATACCTAATCTCGAGTGACGATATGGCGTTCGACAGTTGGCATTTGGCTGAGTAATACTCTAAAAAAATGGTGGACAAGTTTAAATAAATCGCGAAACAAACTGAAAAAGACTTGCCCGCAGCTCGGTGGAATACTGAAAATATAATTATTCTTTTGAAAATGCAGCTTGGGTGTTTGTAATGGACGAGTCGCGTGGGAAGTCCGTTATTACCCTCACATCCCGCGGTTCCTTATTATGGGATTCTTCCCCTTGGTTAGCAATCTCACACCGTGACACATTATCTTTTCTCGTGCTCACTAATCATGTCGGACGTTTGCCTGCAGTGAGTTTTCCACGCACAGAGGTGCCCAGGGATATCCTTCTTGGTATGATCAGCAAACGAAAAGAAGCCATTCCGAAGGATTTTTCTGCGCGTAAGTAGACTAAAAAAGGAAACATTTGCATTACTTCAATCCACCAATCTTCTAGATTTGATATTTTGATATAATAAAATGTATATTTTGGCACGTTTATGAGCACAAACTGTAAAAAGGTTTAATTTTGGAAACGGGTAGGTAAGTAAGGATATTCGCTGACGCGCTATGCATGTTGCCCTCTTTCAGCTCGAAGCATATCGGAAGAGTTCAGTAGCGGTGAAGTGAAAAGTCACGAAGACGGGCTGGAACAAAAGAACAGTCGAGAGTCCAGCAAGAAGAAACAAAACGATGAGCAGGATGATGGTAACCACACCCTGGGCGAACGTATGTTGTGAAAAACGTATATTTATATGGATGGGAAATTCGCATTGGTTCAGTCACCGATAATGCACACCACTTCCATAGTTGCCTGTCACAATATGTAACTTCACTCCTCAGCGCTGCCTGGTGATCCTTACGGAGCTGGTCTGCCCCTTTGCCACTGTGTGCAGTTCGTAATGTTTGGACTATCTTCCAGTCTCTCCTGTAAGCCCTTTTCATTCAGCCAACTGACCCGCCACTTTGCCGCCGAGCTTTGTTGTCCGATTTACCACGGCGCAGTGCTGACCTGGCTAACGGAATCCCCGCTCTGCTGTCATGCAGTATTGATCAAGGTGTTTGACGGCAACTGTTCGCTGCGGAGACGGATGTTCCGGACGATAGCAGTCAGCAGGTCGGCAGCCACCGACGCCATCTTGTCCACGGCGCTGGCAGCCTTCCACATCGGCTCCAAGTCAGGTCAGTCTCGGCAGTCTTACTCTATGATAACAGAGCTGCAGAATTCCTCCATATCGGCTCCTCCAAGTCAGGTCAGTCTCGGCAGTCGTACTCTATGATAACAGAGGTGCAAACTTCCTCCATATCGGCTCCTCCAAGTCAGGTCAGTCTCGGCAGTCTTACTCTATGATAACAGAGCTGCAGTGGAACATTCTCCACATCGGCTCCAAGTCAGGTCAGTCTTGGCAGTCGTACTCTATGATAACAGAGCTGCAGAATTTCTCCATATCGGCTCCTCCAAGTCAGGTCAGTCTCGGCAGTCGTACTCTATAAAAGAGGTGCAAACTTCCTCCATATCGGCTCCAAGTCAGGTCAGTCTCGGCAGTCGTAACTCTATGATAACAGAGCTGCAGTGGCACTTCTTCCATAGCGGCTCCAAGTCAGGTCAGTCTCGGCAGTCTTACTTCATGATTGAGTAGATGTAGATGTAGATGTAGATCGGGGTATAGCCTTTGTAACGGCACCCCTTGTTTCTTAACTGTCACTTTAGCCATAAATATGGATGCTACGACTAAGCAGGTTGACTAAGCACTAAGCGTAAACAAAATGAGCGTGCGTGCCTGGAATTTGCTACTAGCGGGGGTTGGACAAAACAAAAATTACAACAATGAGCGGTCCATTCTTCTTCAGATTTATACGCCTGCATTTGCATTGGCCTGCTTCAAGCTTATTCTCCGCTTTCTTGCTTTCCACATATTGTATTATTGTACAGAATATCTTTTTTAACTTTTATCTCTTCATGGTTCGAACAAAAACTTCCCAATAATCATTGCTTGGTTTTCCTGCATAGGTCTTTGTAGTAAAGTTGCTTTTCTCCTCTCTTCGGTTATCTCTTCATCTGTGCATTCTAGCAAAAAATGTTCCGTATTTTCTAGCTCACTTCCACATAGATCACATTCTGTGCTTTGTCCAATGTGTCTTTTCCTGTCATTCAGTGGGAGGGTTGCAGTTCGAGCCTTGAATAATATTATTGATGATGGCCTGTTGTCATACACTAAATCTTCCTTGACTTCATTTTTCCATTCTCGGTATAATGTTAGGCTTGTCTTATTTTGTACTTCTTCTTTCCATCTCTCACTGTCTAATTGCCTCGCTTTCTTCACTAACTCTTGTCTTGTCATTCTTTGCATATCATCTGCAATTCCAAATGCTTCTGCATATTTGAGATTTGTTTTTGTCCAGTTACTTCTTGTGTGCGTTTTCATTTCTTCTGTGATGTTCTTCAGAAGCTCATTTTCTCTCATCCATGTATATTCTTGAGATACATAAGTCGTCCTTTCATTATTCTTGTTTTCATTTCTGATGCTCCTATTTCTCCTCTCAGTGAACAGTTAGGTGCATAGATAGGAGCTCCTAGTATGCTTCCGTATACCTTGTTCTCTTGTCTTTGGAGATGTCTGATCTCGGAATCTGTCAAACTGATAACGCTTGATCCATATAATATTGATGGTATTGCTACACTTTTCCAGAAGGTTTTCCCAATCAGTAATCTTGAACAGCTTTTGTATACGATTGGTAGAGTAAGATTTGCCATCTTGCATGCCTTTTCCATCATTTTTCTCTTCTGCTCTGTTACTCCTCCTGAGTAACAGAGCTGCAGTGTGACTTCTTCCACATCGGCTCGAAGTCAGGTGAGGATAGGCATCCTGTAAGAATGCATGTGAAGTTAACCCTCGCCGGCCGAGGGGGGGGGGGCGGGTGCCGCCCCCCCATAGGGTTTTTTCGCGATAGCTCCGAACACGCTGGCGATAGAGAGCTGAAACTTGGCATACCTGACCTTTGATCCAAACCGAATCTTTTGACACCAACCGCATTTTTGGGTCAGGTCAGGTCACTGACCTATGACGTCATAAGTGAACCTCTGCACGGTCTTCAGATGTCGCAACTTCGCAACGCCCGCACTGCCAGAGGAGATGTCACAGGGAAATGAAACTTGCAGGATCTAGTATCCATTATGAGTCCCACAACTTGTATATCTCGGATTTTTCCTAAAGGTCATATGAGGTCAGGTCATTTTCGTGACCTCACCATTATAAGTCAATGGGGAAAAATGAAAACTGCTACTCTGGCGCCGGGAACGATCTCCAACTATCTCAAGCACACAGAATCGTGATTTGATGCACTCCTTGCAAGGTTAGATGCGTCACTTTTGCAATGTTGACCTTGCGTGACGTCATTTATGACGTCATCAAGGTCATATTAGTTTTTCGTCAATAACTCTTAATCAAATTGAGCTAGCGAGTCGGGAAAGCCACCAATGGACTCAGGAAGACCTGCCGAATCGAATGATATGCGACATGACCTCTTTCGACCAGCTTCGTGACCTGGGGGTGCTGACCTGACCTTGACCTGAGGTCAACACCCCAAGTTGACCTGACCCGGACAAATAGTATACCATTCGACGCGCCTGAGCAAGACGAACACGATGCTGCCAAAATCGGCGCTCTGCGGCCGTTTTTGCGAAGTTATTCACCAAAAACTGAACCGTACCTTGGGGCACTTGACCTGACCTCAGAGGTCACCGGTTGTCCTAGGACCTTAAAATCGGGCACCAATCTCTGCGTCTCGTAACGGCGCACACGCTCGTTTTTTCCGCGACGCGCTAGCTCCACCAGGGGCGAAACGGCGAGGGGGGGTCGTACCCGCCCCCCCCCCCCTCGGCCGGCGCGTATGTAGAAAACCAATAGGTCCGGCGAGGGTTAAGCCTTCATAATGTATAATTATGTTTGTTTTAACATAAAATATTTACCTTATATTGGGCGTAGCTTAACTTGCATTGCTGATTTGTCTGTTGTAGCGGACAAATACCACCTGAGTGACGCCTATATAACCTATGCCTATGTTACAGCGGACAGGTATGTACTACCTGAGTGACCTCTATACAACCAATCTGTTACAGTGGACAAGTACTACCTGAGTGACGTCTATGTCTCACTGCTCGTTACAGCGGACAAGTACTACCTGAGTGACGCCTACTGTGAGGAGGAGGCGGAGCTGGACGGTGGAATGCTGGTTAGGCAGCTGTGCAAGCGCGACGGTCGCCGTCCGGCGGTGTTCCTCCGGCTACGACAGGAGACAAACCACTCAGGTACCTACGCGCCAGATTACGAGAAGCCACCACACTGTCTGCTCTTCAGGCACGGCTTTTGTGTTTGTTTTGTTGGTTTAAGCTCTTTCGGTCGAACGAGTCCATGGTATGGTCGGAAGGATGATAGGGAATAGAGGGAGACATTGGTCTGGGCGGGCACCCTGGTGAATTGTCGGGGCTGAGCCCATCCAGTGGACAGGCCCCTGACACTCACCGCGCCCGACTATGGGTCTGCTCATAGGGAAGCTTCCCGCATGGGAGTTGCCCGTCCAGCCAGGAACAGGGGGTTGAGGTGTGGAGAAGGAGGATTTGAATGTCCTGAGGATGGAAACGATGGAACGGATGCTCAAAGTTATGGTCATTCGAGTGACACGATATACTGTGGAGAGACCGACCCAGCACGAACCATTCAGCCCCAGGGACCCAGAGGGCAGACGACTAAAAGTTTGGAGCTGCAGACATTCTGCTACAGATATGAATCAACCAACAGTGTCTGCTTTGTAGCACTTTCTTTATTGGAGGAATTGCAGTTGGTCAGGTAGCTGACTTGCAGTCTTGTATCAACAAGAATGTGCTAGTAGCGCCACCTGCAGAATATCGATTCCGGATAACCTAGCACACACCAGCGCGGCGGGGTATCACTGCCATGTCAATTAGAACCGATGTCGTCACTGATCTAAGGCTCCCACAAGATAACGTTCGAAGTATACCGTAGGCTCTGTGGTCCCCATTGTGCCCTCTGCACTACATACTCGTGTCCTTGAATAGGTATATTTATGTGAATACCTACACATGGCCAAGCCTGTGCCTTGTACATATCTGTTAGATCTTTTCACCTGTGTCCTGTCATACCCTGTGACCGAACAACCTGCCAGATATTTGCCATTTTCTGCCTGTAAACCTTGCTGTGACCGCCCCTGTGACCGCCCCTGTGACCGCCCCTGTGACCGCCCCTGTGACCGCCCCTGTGACCGCTCCTGCTCCTCCACCTCTGATCACGCCTGCTCTGTTGCCAGGCTACATCCGCGTGCACCCGCAGCAGCTGCGCGTGCAGGAGGAGCAGCTGGACGTGCCCGTGTCGGACGCGACCACGAGCCGGCAGGTGATCGAGTACTGTCTCCGCCAGCTGGGCCTGACCGGGCCGGACGACTACACGCTCAGTGAGGTGCTCATCGACCGCAACGGTGAGCGCCATTAGACCCACTGCACTGGCGGATAGAGTTTAGCACGTACCTGCATTTACAATTTACATGTGTTATAATATATTTCTACCTAGGTTTAACTAGGTGGATGTTAATGTTTGTTATCTTCACTAGAGCTTGACAGTTGTCGAATACTCATGACAATATCGAGGCATGAATGTCTAGAGGCAGATTGCCACCTCGCACGCGAAAATGATGCGAAAACAGATTCGCTAACCTCATTTGGTTAACCCGCGCCGGGCCGGTGCTCTGAGATTCCGCACCGGGCCAGGAGGGGTGTATGAACACCCCCCCGGTCAGGTCAAAGGTCAGGTCACCAGAAGTCACCAAAGGTAAAATGTTGACTATTTCAACATTTTGGAAACTGCCGACGGCTATCTCGGGAACCGATAGAGCAACAGCGCCGCGGAAAAGCGCATTCGATAGCGATTTTACAAACCTTTCTGAGTGATATTCTCAAATTTGACCTCAGGTCAACGGTTTAGCCTCAAGAGGGCAAAACTCCAAAAATAGCCGTTTTTACGAAAAGCGTTTTTTCGGCAATAACTTTTGACTAAAAAAGCCACGACATTACTTTTGCCAGCATCGTGTTCCTCTCGTCAAGACACGTCGAATGAACTATAATTTGACCTTGAAAGGTCAACTTGAAAATTTGACCTCAGGTCAAGGTCATGACCTGACCGGAAAAGGTCATGTTGCATATCGGTCGATTCGCAACGTCGAGCCGAACACATCTAAGGCATTTTCAGCGCTTTAGCACGCCTCTATCAGGAGTTATTAGCGAAAAACTGTTAGATTCTGTTTGTGACCTGAGATGACCGCGGGGACATAACGAGGGGTCACAGTTGCCATTTTCCGGTTCAGTATGTCAATTTTACCTACATCTCGATGTTTGAGTGTGTCTAGAATAGTGTTCGTGCAAAACAGACGCTTTTCAATTTTCTCCCATTGACTTATAATGGAGAGGCCGCAAAATTGACCTGACCTTAGGTCACCGATATCAAAATTCCGAGATAAACATTTTATAGATAATGTTGCTGTAATCAATCGCTGAAAGTCTCAAGGCAATCGATCAGTCGGTGTAGCTATGACGAGTATTCTTATTTTTTTCTGAGGTGAGGTCACTTTGCGTGACCTGGTGACTTGAACTAAGGCGACCTGGGTCTGAATTTTTTACAACATGTGCGGAAAAGATGCACGAAGAAGTGTGCCAAAAACGGCGGCGCTTTTTGAAATATCTGCGAAAAACCGCACGGGGGGGGGGGGGTTCAAACAACCCCCGGACCGGCGCGGGTTAATCTTCTCGAAGATAGTATCAAAATTTCAAAAAAGTGTTCTTCAATATTATTGCAAAATATGTCTTTATTTATAACGTTTTTGCCAAGGTCAACAATGAGGTCACCATTAGTGGTCGGCTGAAAATTCATAAGTCGTACTTATTAGCATAGTCGTCACGTATCCTGGAGCTATGCGGACAAGAAATCGTGAGGTACCTATGTACATAAGCGGGTATTGCCATTTCAGTGTATGGTGTTCAATGCCCTCGCCCCGTTGGGGGAGGGGCAAAATGGTCCCTCATGTGTATTTTTTCTAAATAGCAAGAACACGACGGCGAGCAGCGCCGCCAAATTTTCAGAACCTTTCTAAGCATCAATTTGACACTTTCACACAAATTTTCAAGTCATAGGTCACCTTAGGTCAGGAGTTATTGAGGTCGAACTGAGGTCATGTTCGAGCAAAAATGAGCAAAAAACATGACATCTTGAAAGGCTCATACAATCTACAGTTAACAAGCAATTTCAAAGTTCTTTATGTGGTCGTGTAGAAAAGAGACGGCGCTACAAAACTGCCATCTCGGGTTTTCAACATTTTGGGATTTTGACCCCCAAAAAGTAAAAAACATTATTTTTTAGAAAACTAAAAAAATCCCAAAAATGTTTCGAATTTCAAAAAAAAAACTGGAATACACATATATGATAGTGCTTCTATCCACATACCAAATTTGAAATCGACACCTCTTTTTTAGTCAAATTATAGCGAAAAAACTGTTCAAAATTGATGACGTTAAATTTTTGAACTCAATTTTTAGCAATTCTGGACCACGTAGCTCAAAACAAAGACCATTAGACTCCCCGTGACGAGCTGCATCGAATCAATACTCATTTAAAGGGACTATCCCACCTTTAACATGGGGTTTGAGTTGAGATAGCCAAGTTTGCGGCGAGGTTCAGAAACCACTATCTATCTAGGTTGCAACCCCCGCGGCGTCTTGGTGTTGAAGAAATTCGTTCCCTTCATTTGAAAATGGGCCTTGTACAAGGCCCTATCTTCACCATGGAGTGACCGTTAGTGTGACGTCACCTCGTTTAGTCATTCTGATTTAAATGGGTTTGTTCGTTGAAAAATCGCTTAAAACTTGGTCTGAACTTTGTTGTGGTGCCTACAGAGTAAAAAGAATCAGCTTTATGACAGTAATGTGGCCTGGGGAAGGAGGTAATTTTGGGCTGTGACGTCACATATTTGAAAGTTTGTGTTTGGAATATGGGAAGCCTAAGATGTTTAACCCGCGCCCCAGTGGCGGTCTCGGCCAACTTCGCCCTAGTGAGGGGGGGCATATGTTACCACCCACCTCTAACTCAAAAACTAAGAGGGCTAGAAAGACGCGGTAAAAAGCAGTCGATAGCTCTCAATACGTACGTTTGAAAGTATTTCGGTCATTTTTCACCTTAGAGCAATATTGGGGTCACCAGAGGTCATCAAAGGTCAAAATTTGCCAATTGTCATTATATTTTTCAGAAAACATGCCGCTATCTCAGGAACTATGGTAGCTAGAAAAACGCATGGAAAAGCAATCGATAGCTTTTGAACTCTTCTTTTGAAAAGGTCATTATCAATATTGTCCTCAGGTCAACGGTTTAGCCTCCAGAGGGCAAAAACTCCAAAAATAGCTGTTTTTACGAAAAGTGTTTTTCGACAATAACTTTCGACTACAAAAAGCCACGACATTTCTATTGCCAGAATCGTGTTCCCCTCACCGAGACGCGTCGAATGAACTATAATTTGACCTTGAAAGGTCAACTTAAAAATTTGACCTCAGGTCAAGGTCATGACCTGACCGGAAAAGGTCATGTTGCATATCGGTCGATGCGTCTCAACAAGACAAACACAATGAGACCATTCCCAGCGTTCTATCTCTTTCCAATCGCGAGTTATTGGCAAAAAACTGTTTGTAGCCTCAAATGACCTCGGATGACCTTTCTAGAGGCTATTAGCAAAAATGACACCTTGGTCATCACGAGTGGACTAAATCATTGTGATTCTGAAATATTTGGACTGTTCCTATGCGTACACACGGATCTAGAGGCATTTTCATTTTTCTCCATTGACTTGTAATGGAAAGGTCATGCCACTAACCTGACCTTAGGTCACGGATATAAAAAATCCGAGATATACAAATTGTAGGCTCCCATAACAGGATGCAATCCACCAAGTTTAAAACCTTTCTGATAAACACTGCAGGCTGGACATGATTGCAAACTTTTTTTAAGGCTTGGTCAGTTAACTTGACCTGGTGACCTGACCTGACCTGACCTGGGGTCAAAAATTTCACACATTGTCCAAAATTGATGTACCAAAAGCTACCCCAAGCGGCGCGGCGCCACGCGCCGCGGTTTTTTATTCACACGCGAAAAACGCGACAGGGTGGTAACATATGCCCCCCCCCCCCACTGGGGCGAAGGTTAATGAAAAATAAATGCCAGAACCGAGTTCCTGGTCATCCAATCTATATAAAGTCGGGCACAATTTAAATGGTTTTAACAATATTTTAGAAGGTGGGATAGTCCCTTTAATGCAAAAATATCAAGTTTGAAATTTGACCTAATTTGACCTGACCTTGACCTGACCTTCATCAGAACATAACCTAAACTGGCCCCAAAGGCTGCCTGGCCCACATAATCGCATTTGTCATGTAAAATGGACCATAAAACAGGCATCACATGATATTTTCATGTTGTGACCCTCAGTGACCTGACCTCTGCGACCTGACCTGGTATCAGTGACCTCAAATAGCAAAATATGTGTTTGCCGAACAATTCCCCATCGATTATTTTAAATGACATGCATTTTACTCGATTTTACAACACATTTCTTGAAATGCCTGTAAACGGTGAAAATTCGACATTTGACCTGACCTGTGACGTCACCGGTTTGACCGAGGTCAATGCAATTTGGTCACAAGGTAGTTCGTCATTGGGGCTATCCAACATTGTTTGCTGCTTGTCGCTATGTTGCGTGGTTCTCGAGATCTTAGGGGGGCCAAAATGCACGCCGTCCCCCCCCCCCCCCCCCCCCTCCCCAACAGGGCTCGTTGCACGGCAGACCCCAACGGGGCGCGGGTTAATAAAAAAGAGCCCCCGGGCCATTGTTTATGTACCGATTTATCCCCTGCCCTTCCCTACCCATTCTTTCATCCGCTTTGGCATTCCATAGATCGATATCTTCTCCTTCAAAGGCCTTTCTGTCCTGAATATTGCTCTCAGATTTGAACTCAGGTTAACGGTTTAGCCTCCAGAGGGCAGCAACTAGAAATAGCCGCTTTACATTTTTTTTTAATAACTTTAGACCCAAGGAAGTCACGACATTAATTTTGCCAGCATCGCGTGTCTCTCGTCGAGACGCGTCAAATGAACTATAATTTAACCTTATAAGGTCATTTTAAAAAATTTAACCTCAGTTCAAAGGTCACGACCTGCCAATAAAGGGTCATGCTGTTTATCAGTCGATCCGTATCGTCGAGATGAACACATTTGAGGTGTGTTTTCACCGTTCTAGCACATCTCTAGCAAAAGCTATAATAAAAAACTGTTGGGGACCTTTCATTACCTGAGATGACGTAGCATATACATGGGTCACGAGTGCAATTTCCCGATTAATTGTGTCATTTTTACCTAGAAAATGATATTTGAGACTGTTTAAAACGA